AGTTTACTGCACTGAGGATATCTCCTCTGACCAAATCAATCAATGGATTTTCAAAAGTATTATAAGATATTCTTACCATAAGTAGGTAATAAGACTCATTGAAATGAGCAGCAGACTAGCAATGGGGAGGCTCTCTGTCCTAATTCAGGATTTGCAGGCCTGATGTAAATCAGGTCTCCTTAGTTTCCTCATTTACCAATGACTTATTACCACCCTTACCAGGGAAGGTAGAAAAATAAGTAAAAATAAACTTTCTTAAAATGTTCTCGAACCCTAAAGCATGCAAGATCATGTAATTGCAGGGTGTTATTATTTGAATAAATTTCATTATGAAAGTTAATATGAAACTATAAAAATTTAGTTTCATATTAAGTATGAAAAATATACTTAATAAAGTATATTAAAAAAGTAATATACTTAGTAATATACTTAATAAAGTATATTCGCTTAGTAAAAATATTTTTTTTTCTCCAGGCTCAATACTTTCTGGAGTCGACAAAGTTAGTGGAAGTGTGCTAGGCAGTTAGACAGGCACGAGCAGAGCAAGGACGATAGGCCAGGTACAGAAGCTCACCAGGGTGGATGGCCCTGGGTGCCTGGCAATGGGCAAAACTGGGAAATTCATTCAGACCTGACCTTTCATATTGTTGGTCATAGGGATTAGCCGCCCTGACCTTTCACATCGCTGGTCGCGTGGCTTGGGCCCTGCCCTGCCCTTTCCTCCCCTGGCATGTCACTAGTCATGTGGTATAACCCCCCGGAGGAGGAACAAGGGGCCAAAGAGTGGCCTCATGCGACTCCCATGTTGGCCCTTGCACAACCACTCCCTGAAGCCTCAACCCCTGTGGGTAACATCTAGGCCTCAGTTGTGTTTCAGTCCCAGGCTCAGGAAAGCAGCAAAACCAGATAAACAATGCCAAGGCTGACCAGCTACATTGACTAATGAGCCCTGACCTGGTGCCGACCAATCAGTGGAGACCATGACCCTGAAAGGACACACCTGGAAAGCTGATGAATATTCTATTGAGATCCTCCCCTGGGACCTTCAGATAATCACCCTCAAGACCAGCACCCAGTGTGGCTCTCTCTTGAGCAGCCCTGCACCTTTCCCACCCGCTTCCCTCAGGTGCAGTTTCCTTGCCTCTGTCTTTCTCCTAAATTCCAAGGGCCCTTCTGTGGCCTCTAACTTGCTCCTAAGCCCATGCCCAACTGGCTCACTTTTCTTCCCTCTGTGACTTTCTAAATAAACTTTTGCTTGTAGTATTTGAATGTTGGCTCTGAATTCTTTCTTAGCCAGAACTCAAGTGCTGAGGTTGCTGAACCAAGGTTCCATCTGACTCCACTGGTCTCACACCTGGTGCCGTTTTGCTGCCAACAGGAGGGAGGCAAAGGAATACCTCTGAACCATTGCTACCACATAGTAATGAACTCTTCCTGTAGCCATTCAACCTTGGGCAAAAGTAAACAGGACTTTCCAGACCAGGGGTCGTCAAACTACGGCCCACGGGCCACATGCAAATACAAATATTGTATCTGTTCCCGTTTTGTTTTTTTTTTACTTCAAAATAAGATATGTGCAGTGTGCATAGGAATTTGTTCATAGTTTCTTTTTAAACTATAGTCTGGCCCTCCAACGGTCTGAGGGACAGTGAACTGGCCCCCTGTTTAAAAAGTTTGAGGACCCCTGTTCCAGACAAACCTGAAGAACAGACCAGGTTAGGTGGTCTGTCTCCTTGCTCTGGGATGATGGTGAACTGATAGAACTCTATTTCCTTCTGGTCATTTTATCTTTGCATATTAAAATTTTTATTTTTAACCCTAGCTGGTTTGGGTCAGTGGGTAGAGTGTCAGCCTATGGACTGAAAGATCAATTCCAGTCAAGGGCACATGCCCGGGTTGCAGGCTCGATCTCCAGTAGGGAATGTGTAGGAGGCAGCCAATCAATGATTCTCTCTCATCATTGATGTTCCTAGCTCTTTCTCCCTCTCCCTTCCTCTCTGAAATCAAAAAAAATATATGTATTTTGTTAATTTTTATTTTTAGTGAAAAGAGCAATAATAAGCACATTAGAAAACATACGAGACAGTGTCCATGGGTTATGCATATATGCATACACGTTCAACAGTGTGATGAAGGGGCCAATAGGGGAAAACAGGGAACATATGTAATACTTTCAACAATAAAGATCTTAAAAAATAAAGAAAGAAAGAAAGAAATAAAACATATGAGAAATAGAAAAACAATGCTCCACTGGAACCCGGCACTCCAAACACTCTGGATAACATACAGTCTTTACATAGTTATAAAATACATATTCATATCCTGATTGTTCCACTCAGCATGGTTATCAGGAATGGCTTTTATATATCATTACAAAATTAGTCTTCAGAGACAGCGTTTTAAAATTATTATTTTTAAATGTGGTAAAAAAAAAAACCCACATAAAATAAATGTACCATCTTAACCACTTCTAAGCATACAGTATTAAATATATTCACATTGTTGTGCAACCAATTGCCAGAATGTTTTCATCTTGCAAAACTGAAAGTCTGTGCCCATTAAACAACACCCCATTTCCTCTTCCCCTCGCCCCTCGTAACCACATTCTGCTTTGTCTCTATGAAGCTGACCCATACCTCAAGTAAGTGGAATCCTACAGCAATTGTCTTTTAGTGACTGGCTTGTTTTATGTGGCATAATGTCTGTAAGGTTCACCTATGTTGTGACATGTGTCAGAGTTCCTTCTTTTTTAAGGCCAAATAATATTCCATTATATGTATATACCGCATTTTGCTTATCCATTCATCCTTTGATGGACACATGGGTTGCGGCCATCTCTTAGCTATTGTGAATAGTGCTGCTATGAACATGGGTGTGCAAGAGATTGGGCATTTTTAATGGGTGCATTTTATTTCATCAATAAGCTACATCACAGATGACCTAGCCATTCCACTATTGTGGGACATACAGATTGTTTCTAAATATTTAATATAATTATTCTTTTTTATACTTAACAGAGGGATAGTTAAATAATCTACTGACATCTTATAATGTCAGATATTAGCTAAGGGTTACAGTTTTTCAAACTTTTTTGAAATGAAGAGACCTATAATGTAATTTTACGTATTTTTAAAATGAAGGGTTTTTTCATGTAATAGTTATATTTTATCAAGAACAATGTTAGAATTACTTTTTATGTTTCAGTTAAATTTCTTTGGAAATGTGTATACTGAACAATGTTAAATGGAAAAAGAGAACATATACTTGTGGTATGTAATATAATCATAATTGCTTCCATGTATTGAGTACATATGTGTCAGTGTTAGGGTGTGACACATATGAGCTCATTTAATCCTCACAACTCTTTGAGGTGAGCACTGAATGGCAGTAGAATATGCTATCCCCCTTTGGCATAAGGATAATTCTAAGCTAAATATTTTGAGAAAGAACAGACGCAGGAGACATTCTGAAAACCAGAGTAGTGTTACCCTTTTGTAAGGGACATAGAGGGCATCCCCATTTGTAAGTATCTCCCTCCGTGGTTCAGGAAGGGAAGGACGACTCTAAATCACAAGAGAATCTTATCCATTTAGATAGGGGAGGGCGAGGGTGAGGGGGAGAGATTAACCAGAGGACTTGTATGCATGCATATAAGCATAAGCGATGGATGTGGACAACAAGGGGTGAGGGTGAGGGCAGGATTGGGGGATGAGGGGACATTGGGGGGATAAGGACACATCTGTAATATCTTAATCAATAAAGGGGGAAAAAATCTGCACAACAACCTTACCTTTGTTTACCATGTTTTTCTGGGTAACCTCCCATAACTGGCCTCTCCTCATAGCTTTCTTTCTTTGTCTTTAGCTGAAGCTGATATATTTTTTTTTAAATGAAATGAAAGGTCCATGAACAGACATTGATTTCTAATTTACTGGGGGTAAGAAAAGGGAACATACAGGGTCTACAAGACAATGCCTTAGTGTTCTATTACTGTTGCATAAACAATTGTGCTGTCAGAGCACAAAGAAGGAGAGCCTGTGGAGTCTCAGGAGAACTAAGAAAGACTTCACAAAACAGGTGACATCTGAGCTACGCCTTGTAAGATGAATAAAATTTACCAGACAAAGCACGATTGTGGGAAGGGAGATTTTGTCAGTGAGTAGAAGAGAAATTTAAGTCAGCACGGGGGGTGGTGGGGGAGAGACCCCCAAATTTAACAATCAGACACGGGATTTAAAATCCCATCTTTCAGGGTAAGCTGCTTTAGTTTAACTTCTCTGAATCTCTCAGTGTCAATTCTCCATTTTCTTCCTCTATTAAAATTCAATCACTTCCTGCGCTTTGCTGCATCACAGTGATTCGATTTCAGTTTTAATATGTAGCAATTGAACAAGAAAGTTAGGAGAGGCACCCTGCTAAGTTTTATAACAAAGATCCACTTACCAGAAACTTCCATGAGAGGAACCAGACCATTTGCTGCACCGAGAACAGATATGTTTTGGGAGCCACACGTGGGGTTGGACCGCCCATATCCTCCTCCCTTTTCTCAGCAAAAGGGGGAAAGAAAAAGGAATGTAGGGCGTAGAACTGGTTTGTTTGTTTAAGAAACTCTAAGGAATTGGCTCCGCAGTGACTTTTTCAGCCTATTCTTGAAGACTGCACAAAGCAGTTGGGAAACGGGGTTAGCTATGCCAGAAGATGACAGTTCCCATATTTAGGGACATGAGCTTCCATGTGAGGGACAACAGGTCAAAGATCAACAGTGTCAAGGAAACACTGGAGGAGGCATTGAGCTGGTACTATGGACCAATAAGGCTGGCTCTATAGCTGGACACTAGTCATGTTACAGTTGGACTCGACTGCAGATGGAAGAGGACAGCAATCAAACTTCTTCCTTGGACATTCGCAATATCATGGCACAATATCTGTGAAGAGTTATGAATTGTTGAGAGTGCAAAAGAGTGATCTTCACTGACCGTGAACCTACTAAACATGTGTCGATGCAGCTGTTGCTGCTACAGATGAAAGACTGCCCTCCTACATGGGAGACGATGATTTCAAAGTAGTCAGTGCATTGGAAAGAGCACTGGATTAAGAGTCAGACAGACTTGGACAAGTGAACTTTGTGACAAGTTAGGAATTCTTCTGAGATTTAGTTTACTCACATATGAAATATGGAAATAATAAAATTACCGCCCTGCTCGACTCACGTTTGGTCCTGTTAGGAAGATGAAATAAATTAAGAGACATGAAAATGCTTACAGAATTGTAAAGTGCATATAAAGCATTACATTTATTGTGATGAAAGCAGTGAGTCTCACTTACTCCCCTACCTGGAAATAGGCAAAGGCCAAGTGATCCAAGGCATCCTCGAGACTTGCCTCATCCTCTGTCTTCCACTCTCCGTAAGATCCTCGGAACAGACTGACAGCCTCCTCCAGCCAGGGGATGGCATGGTAGTAATCCCCCATGTCATAGGCCACCTGTAGGAAACGTAGGCACTATCATTAAAGCCTTAGTCCACAGGCAGAGGAAAGGACATGACATGCAAAGAGTGGGGGGCCTTTGGAACCCAACAAAGCCAGTTTCCATCTCAAATTCATTTAAATTCAATTTATTAAGCACCTGTTACATACAAGGCATTGCACTGGGTACAGAGAAGACACAAGGATACTTGCATTTAAGGAATTTATAACCTGGAGAGAAGACAGATATGAACTCAGGTTAACTATAATACTGGACAGATTGGCATGAATGCTGGAAGGAAATATATATATATTCTATGCTGGGCAGACATAAAAAAAGGAGGAGGCTTGAGAATCTCAAAAGGTTTCATGGAAGAAGTGGCATCTGAGATGGGACATCCTTGAAGAAGCCAAAGAATTTCAATACACCAAAATTGGGGAGAAGGGCATTTTAAGATGAGGGAATGGTAGAAACAGAAGCCAAAGCAAGAATGTGTTCAAATAACACATTGTGACTGTGGTGTAAGGTGAAAAGAAGCAGGAAATGAACTTTAAAGGGCAGGAGGGGATAAACTAGTGAGAGTTATGAGTGCCTTGTTTTTAGGAAGATATTGCTGGCAGCAGTGTGAGGAATGGACTAATTCATTCATTTATTTATTCAATATTTACTGAGTGTAATGTACCCGGTGGTCCCTGCCCTTAAAGGTCTTAAAATCAAGGGGCTGGTGATAAACCAATAATTGTGACACAATGCATTAGACACTATAATGAAGGTAGACCTGGGAATGGTATGAGAGCTCAGTGCATTGTTCTATATTAAATGTTGGAATAAGGCAACATGTACTAGACATAGCACCTGTCTTTTAATAGTTCACCATTAACTAGAATACCAGAACTGCTAGTGGAATTTCCTGGAAATTGATGTGGGAGACAGCATGGAATTATAAAGTCTCAGAGCTGGAAGGATTCTTACAAAATGATCAAATGCAGGTATAACTTCCAGATAGGCAGAAAGACAGCAGAATGCAGAGATCCGTGACTCTGTAGCCTAACTATAAGTCGGTTCCTATCCCAGGCCTGCACTTCACCTGCGGTGTTATCTCTCTGGTCCTCAGGTTCCCTATTTGTGACAAGACTGAGTTGAGGAATTCTGATAAAAAATGACTGAACCTTTTCTGCTAAGTTAACAATTTATTTAAGATTTCCATGAGGAAGATTGAAATAATTGGAATCCTTCCAACCACAGAGATTTAGAAATTTTGAACAAAACATTTACTTATATATTTTCAAGAAAGAATGGAAAATACTCAGGCACCAGAAACAAAAAAGGAGCAGCTGAAAAATGCAAGCAATAAACTTATGAGCAAATGCTGAAGCTGCCTGGGATGGGGGTAAGTCTTAGTAACCTTGGTACTTAGTAACCTTAGATTGTAATGCCCACTTGAGGACAGAGGAGTCTTCTGTAGACCTCCCCAAATCTAGGGATTGGAATTCAGACACACTCATAAAACGGTAACCCACTGAAAACAATACCTTAAGAAGAAGAGTAGACCAGGAAAAATCTACACACTGCCATAAGGAGAAAAGAAAGTTGGTTTGTTTCTGTTGGCTCTGTTTAGGGGAATAAAATAGCTCCTTAGAATATTACTAACCTTAAGCTTACACTTCACTTGAGTTTAGGGTGTGAATTTACATTATTCATACAGTTAAGGAATCATCAGGCCAATTAATCAATATAAAAATAGACCTAAGGCCACAGCAAATCAAAACCATGAGTTATCGCTTCACACCTGTTTTAATGGCTATTATCAGAAAGACAAGAAACAACAAGTGTTGGCGAAGATGTAGAGAAAAGGGAACCCTGTGCACTGTTGGTGGGAATGTAAATTGGTACAATCACTATGGAAAACAATATGGAGATTCTGCAAAACATTTTTAAAAAACTACCATTAGATCCAACAATTCCTTCTGGGTATTTATCTGAAGAAAATGAAAACACTAACTCAAAAAGATATCTGTACCCACATGTTCATTGCAGCATTATTTACAATAGCCAATATATGGAAACAATCTAAGTGTTTAGCAATGGACAAATGAATAAGTAAAGTTATATACATATATATAACACATCTATAATGGAATATTATTCAGCCATAAAAAGAATGAACTCTTGCAATTTGCAACATGGATGGACCTTGAGGGCATTATGCTAAGTGAAATAAGTCAGATAGAGAAAGACAAATACCATATATCTCATTTATATGTGAAATCTAAACAAACAAACAAACCCAACCCCACAGAAAGAGAAAACAAATTGGTTGACAAAGGTAGGGGATAGGGGCTGGGTCAAAAGGTATAAATTTCCAGTTATAAAATAAACTAGAGGCCCAGTGCATGAATTCATGCACCAGTGGGGTCCCTTGGCGTGGCCTGCGGAGATTGGGCCGAAACCAGCAGTCCAACGCCACCTGCCGATCCTGCCTGCCACTCCCGCTCATCCTGGCCCTGCTGCGCCTTCTCCATCAGATAGAGAAAGGCAAATACCATATATCTCATTTATATGTGAAATCTAAACAAACAAACAAACCCAACCCCACAGAAAGAGAAAACAAATTGGTTGACAAAGGTAGGGGATAGGGGCTGGGTCAAAAGGTATAAATTTCCAGTTATAAAATAAACTAGAGGCCCAGTGCATGAATTCATGCACCAGTGGGGTCCCTTGGCGTGGCCTGCGGAGATTGGGCCGAAACCAGCAGTCCAACGCCACCTGCCGATCCTGCCTGCCACTCCCGCTCATCCTGGCCCTGCTGCGCCTTCTCCAGGCTCATGCCCAATCAGTCCTGAGTGGGAGAGGCTCACATAGCTGCAGCGGCACTCACCAGCCATGAGCCCTGCATCTGGCACCCATCCTGAGGGGGGTGTGGGTAGGGCCCAGGACCTAATTGGCCCACCTGGTGGGCAGTGGGATGCCCTTGCCGACTTGTGATCCGGATCCATCCAGCTGATGTTTGCACTGGTCATCGGGAACCACCTGGCGGCCACTTTTACATAGTTTCTTCCTTGCGGAGCATCTAGGGAGGGGAAGTGTCTGCAGTGCCCGAGGCCAACTTCCAGGAGGCTGGTGGCACTGTCAGAATCATGCGGGCAGTGCCAGTCCGTTGGTGCCTGGCCCCATTCTCTCAAGATTGGACCTGCAGGACTACTGAGGGAGTGAGTAGCTGCTGCAGGGCTGGTGGGACACCTGGATGGGTTGGTCAGCTGAGCAGCACTCCTGCTGTGGGAGCACACTGACTACCAGGGGGAAGCTCCTGTGTTGAACCTCTTTCCCCTGTTGGTCAGTGCACGTCATAGCGGCCTGTCTACTGGTCGTTCGCTCATTTGGTCACTTAGGCTTTTATATATATAGATAAGTCATGGGGATATAATGTAGAGTCAAAAAAAAGGAGGGGTCTAAGTCCAGTGATACCACCCGAGTACCTGGAAGAAGAAAATCCAAAACTCTCTGGGGAAATATTCCCAAAGTTCTCTGGGCACAGAGATTCTTCTATGGGGGGAAAAAGTCCTGCTAAAAAATAACCTCACGATTAAACACAACAAATCCTATCAGGAAATAACTGATCATGAACAAGAATCACCAGACATAATGTAGGTAGGGTCGGGGAATTAGACAATTAAGAAATCAGAAAATGGAGCGATCCACTTTCAAATAAACAATGATGGCCCGGCCGCCGTGGCTCAGTGGTTGAGTGTCAACCTATGAACCAGGAGGTCACAGTTCATTTCCTGGCCAGGGCATGTGCCTGGGTTGCAAGCTCAATCCCCAGTGTGTGTGTGTGTGTGTGTGTGTGTGTGTGTGTGGGGGGGGGTAACAGTTTGCAGAAGGCAGCTGAGCAATGATTCTCTCTCATCATTGATGTTTCTATCTCTTTCTTACCCCCTCTGTCTTCCTCCCTGAAATCAATAAAATGTATTTAAAATCAATAAATAAAATAAACAATGATGGAGGGAATTGGAGGCATGTAGATGAAACACACTTGGCCACATGTGAATAATTATTGAAGTTTATTCTTTGGCCCAGCAACACCATTCCCAGGTTCTTTAACCAAAAGCTATGAAAACAAACATCCACAGAAAGACTTACATAAGAACGTTACTAGCAGCTCCATTCAAAGCAGCCCATGCTGGAAACAATCCAAGTATCCATCAATAGGGAACTGGGTGAATACTACTAAGCAATAAAAAGGATTGAACTACTAATAAATGCAACAACATGAATGAGCTTCACAGACATAATGTGCTGAGAGAAAGGAGCTGGACTCACAAAGCTCATACTCTGTGGTTCAGGACAACGGCTACCTGGTACCTGGGGAAGGTGGAGTAGAAAGGGTGGTGTGTGGTGAGAAGGAAAAGGAGTGAGGCTTTATTTAGCCCTATGTAAATTCTTTTGTAAAGACTTGAAAAAAAATCTGAAACAAATATAGCAAAATTTGAACGTATAGCTCATCTCAATGACAGATAGAACTGCTTGTTACAGTATTATTTTACATACTTTTGGTAAATTTGAAATGTCTTATCTTTCAAAATAAGTAAATACACACAGAAATAAAGACTGCCAGGGAGACTTTCAGGAAGCGACTTACTAAATTTTCAACATATGGTTTCGGACTCAGAAAGGCCTCACCAATGAAGCATATATTGACATGGAACTACTTTAACTGGCGTAAACTGAAATTAGCCAGGAACCTGATGATTCAGCTCTAATTCCATTCAGGGTCTCCAATGCCCTAGGAGCTGTATCAGTGAAGAAATTGCTTTGGCATATGTCTGAGATTTTGTTGCCTTTGGATTCCTCTAGTATTTTTATGGTTTCCCATCTTACATTTAAGCCCGTTATCCATTTTGAGTTTATTTTTGTGTATGCTGTAAGTTGGTGGTCTAGTTTCATTTTTTTGCAGGTATCTGTCCAATTTTCCCAACACCATTTATTGAAGAGACTGTCTTGACTCCATTGTATGTTCTTGCCTCCTTTGTCATACTCCATTACTTCTTAAAGCAACAGCACACAAAGAGTATATTGTAAAATGACCTCAAGTATGCTTATGCCTTATGATCAAAGATCAGTAAAATATCTCATATGGGAGCTTCCTGAAGTCTATTTCCTCCAGTAACATTAGAGTGAATGGCCTGTTTTGTGACACTACTTTAATTCAGTATTTCTAAATTCCCAGGAAATGTACAAGAGATTCCAGAGAGTCTCAGCAGGCCGACTGTCCATGATCTTCCCTCCACATCACCATCTCCTATCCCTTTCCCCATCCTTAACTCTGCTTCCCCTCTCCACCCAGCTGTTTATCCTCAGTCAGGGTGCAATAGCTAGGTCCGTTGTCGGCAAACTGCGGCTCGCGAGCCACATGCGGCTCTTTGGCCCCTTGAGTGTGGCTCTTCCTAAGCCTTAGGCGTACCCTAATTAAGTTAATAACAATGCACCTACCCATATAGTTTAAGTTTAAAAAATTTGGCTCTCAAAAGAAATTTCAATCGTTGTACTGTTGACATTTGGCTCTGTTGACTAATGAGTTTGCCGACCACTGAGCTAGGGTGACCAAAGGACCACTTTCCCCAGGACAGTCCCAGTGTACATTTGTTGTCCTGGCTAATAACACCCCTTCCACTCCCAATAGTGTCCTAAGTAGATGGTCACTTTAGCTATCATGGAAAGAGCCTGGGATTTGGAGTTAAAAGACCCGGGTTCAAATTTTAGTCCTACTTAAAATTGTGAAACCTTAGGTAAGTTCTACACCCTCTCTGAACCTCAGTTTCTTCACCTGAAAATGGGGAATAACAACAAATGTCCAAGTTTGCTGTCACAATTAGAAAAAATGTAAAAAGCAACCGGGATATAATTATTTCATCCACAAGGAAGTAGCCCCTAGCAATTCGCCCTCTCTCTGAAAACTGTTACCTTGCCAACTTGGAAGCAGTCATCTGCCGTGAGGGCGAAGAGCCGGCTGGGGCTGTACAGGTCAGTGACCGCGGAGCCGGTGACTCTCTGAAAGACGCCTCGGGCAAGGCCCTTCACGTTGAGCATGTACACGTCCTGCAGCCGCATCAGGGCCCTTGCTGCTCCCTCAAGGTCCTCGAAGGCTGGCAGGTCCTGCTCCACCTTCTCGAAGCCATCCTTCAGAGCTGTAAAGGTCGTGAAAACACACCCCCATTCAAAAAGCAGGTGGTGAGCATTTCACACATGCAAGGCACAATTACCTGTTCACATATTTCAAGAATAAAAATAATATTTGATTTGCTTTTCTTCTCAGTGGCAAGCACCGTTCCTGGCACAGAGCGATGCTGAATACAATCTTCTGAATAAGGAATAAAGGCTTTAGAGTGAAAACTAAGGCACACACCTTCATCACACTGTTCCCTCCTGTCTGTCTCCAGGAGTCTTGCCCTTTGCAGGGACAATTATTTTCCCTCTTAACTTCCCTAAAGTCAGCAAACTTGTTCAAATACAAAGCAGAGTAAATTAAGAAAGTGATCCTGCAACAGATCACACTGTAGTGGCAACTTAATAAAACAGAAATTATTAGAAGACATCACTTTTTACATTAGGTAAATGGGATGATATTTTGGATTCGATCCAAAATCAAGTGAGATAATGGATATGAAGGTGCTTTCTAATGTAAAATTATATCAACTTATTAACAAGGGGACCTAGTTCTTTGTGATACTTAGAGCTAAGGAGATCAAGTAATACCTACCCACTTCATTGCCCGTCATCACATCCCATCAGAATCTCTCTCCTTTCCACTGAGTCAGGAGATGGAATCTCTTTACCCTCCAGCCCGCTTCCTCATTACCTCGGGTGTTCTCACTCGCCTCCAGACTATGGACCACATTCCTCCAGTCAGACTGTAGGCGTTTGATGAGAGTAAATGCAAGCAGAGGGTTAGACACAGGGGTTGCTGAATCCTCATGCAAAGAAAGCACCTTGTGATAGAACCTGAAAGAGAGGACTGGGATGATCTCACCTACCGATGCAACCAGACACCTAGGAAAGGCTGGCATGCTGTATAAACATTAAGAGTAGTTAAAAATGAAATGCTGAATCCCTCGAGACTCATGGAATACTGTAACCAATAAGCAAAAACAACAACAACAACAAAACCCACTACTATCACAACAAAAGTAGGTCTCTTCATTTGTTCATTCAATGAGTCAGTCTCTACCAGTCAGTTATCACGCTAGGGGCTAGAGATACAAAGGCAAGACAGAGTCCAGCTCTCAAGGAGCTCACAATCCAGAAAATCTTTTTTTTCTCTCTCACCATTCTATATTCAATACTTAGAATCTGGTAGAAATGCGAACACGTTGCAATAATTGTGATGCATGCTATGAGAAAAGTGAAGTGAACATATCATGCTATGGAACGCTATAGCAATTTGTAGGCAAGACACTTAACCCAGATGGGAGTTAGAAATATAAGGGAAGAGCCCTGGCTGGGTAGCTCAGTTGACTAGAGCATTGTCCTAATACGCCAAGGTTGTGTGTTTGATCCCCAGTCAGGGCACATACAAGAAGCAATCAATGAATACATAAACAAGTGAGACAAAAAATCCATGTTTCTCTTTCTCTCTCCCTCAAAATCAAAAAATAAAAAATTTTAAAAGGAGAAAGAAATATAAGAAAGACTTCCCAGAGGGGATGGCACTTGATCTGAGTCCTGAAGGACTATAATATGGATAGCTACTACTTATTGAGTCCTCACCATGTATTAGGCATTCCGCTAAGCGCTTTAAATACATAGTCTCATTTAATTACCCCCAACAACCCTCAGAATAGATTTGATCATGCCCATTTTACAGGAGAAGAAACTGAAACAAGGCCATACTATTAGCAACAAAACCAAGAATGAACCCAAGCCTGCCGACTCTGAAGTCTGTTCTCAGTTGACTGTGCCATAGTGTTTCCATGGATTGAACAAAGAAGGAACGAAGAGCGTTTTTTGATCCAACAGGGAATAATGTGCACAAAGGCATAGAGGTTTGACATGTATTTGTTCATTCAACAAGTCACTCTATACTGTTTACTTGTCAGACTCCATGCCAGAAGTTGGACAAGACAGGGGCCCATGCTCAAGGATTTCATAGATAAGAAAATACTCTATGCCTAAGAAAATACTCATTACTCTATGCCTAAGTTCAATACATACTTCTATGAAAGAATGAATGAAATACTATATTATTCTAGGACTTAAGAACAAAATTGTGAATAAGACGGTAACCTTGGTTCTCAGAGACTCACAGTCTAGTGCAGCAGTTCTCAACCTGTGGGTCGCGACCCCTTTGGCGGTCGAACGACCCTTTCACAGGGGTCGTCTAAATACATCCTGCATATCAGATATTTACATTACGATGCATTTCTACCAGATTCTAAGTATTGAATATAGAATGGTTCAGAAGTGGAAGCGACTGGAGGCAGAAAGACCAGTTTGGAGGCCATTTCAAAACTGCAAGCAAGAGACCAGGAGAATCGGAGCAATAACAGTGACATGTAGACACTGATGATGGCTAATGGGGAATGAAGAGGTGATGTTTCCAGCATGCTTCCGTTTGCAGGAAGGGACAGAAGAGTGGGGCCAGAAGTGACCATCTTCCTCGTTAATTTCTCTCCTCAGATATCCTGCAAGAGTGTTCATGTAAGCAAAACATGCTGTCTCCTTTTCTGGTCTACTATGCTTATCCCACTCCTAACAGCGGGATTTATACTATTGAAATGTATAGATTTTAAAAAGGCAGACTTAAGAGCTCTAGTCCTGCCCTCAAAGAATTTCCCCCTTGTTTTAAAATTATTAATTTCCAAGAAATATAACAACAACACAGGAAGTAAACGAAAAGAGTGTGATCAAAGCGAAAAGGATATGGATTTATGTGAATGTGTACAAGAGCATGTGAGAATACAGGAGCTCTTTGGCAAGAGTGGGGACTTCCATGAGCGGAAAGGGATGAAAGTGAAGGATAGAGATGGTGGTTGGGCGGGAGGATTTCCATACCTTCCAGCAGAGTCTGACCTACAGACTTCTCAAGGGTGGTTCCTGCAACTATCAGAGCTTGAAAATAGAAGATGACTTGCTTCACAGTGCTCCCAGGGAGCCAAATATTCAACTCAAGCATAAACTAAGGAAGGAGGATCAGGACCTGGGTGCCCCAGGGAGGGAATGGGAAGCCTGTCAAATACCAGGGTGTCTCTGGTCCCCAAGCAGGGCTGTTTGAGAGCAGTTATCCTAGGGCAGTGCTGGCGAACCTTTTGAGCTTGGCGTGTCAGCATTTTGAAAAACCCTAACTTGAACTCTGGTGCCGTGTCACATATAGAAATTTTTTTATATTTGCAACCATAGTAAAATAAAGATTTACATTTTTGATATTTATTTTATATATTTAAATGCCTATTAACAAAGAAAAATCAACCAAAAAAATGAGTTCGCGTGTCATAGGTTCGCCATCACTGTCCTAGGGTTTTGAATATACCAGTCTCGGGGTGTGGTTTTGTTTTGTTTTTTATTACCCATTATTTCCTGCATCAGCTCCATATGGAACTACTTAATGGAAGATATTCCATCGCTCGATGAAAAAACTTCTCAGCAGAGACTTGGGCTGGAGTCCAACCTGAAGAGCAAGTGTCCAGAAACAACTGAGGCTGAACGGGCAGTGATTTTATAAGACGGTCGGACTGGGAGGGGACCTGAGACTTATCCCGACCCAGCCTCCAACTATCCTTCAGTTTCTTCCTCTATAAAATGACAGAGCTGGTCTAGTCTAGAAGGTCTCTCTTCTAGCGTGACTGTTCTAGTATTTCTTTCCATTACCTTTCCTGCAACTGAGTAAATAGACTCCTCATCTGGTGCTTGAGGACTGATGTCTAACAGACAACAGAGGAAACTGAGGCACAAAGGGCAAGAGGGAAGACAGAGAGGTGTACCAAGCCATCAGTCAGATCAAAAGCACTACCTCCTTTTCTCTTCGCAGCCCACTTTGCAGGACGGGCTCCATTTATTTAGCACAGGGGTCTGATCTTCCTTGAAGCACATAATTCAGTTCAGCGCTCAGATACATCACTTTTCTGTTACAGAGAGAGAAAAAACCCCTATCCACTAATATCCGAGGCTGGTCTGGAATCTAAACGTTGGCCCCATGCCCAGCCTCTGAGCAAATAGCTGGTTTTCAGAGACGGAGTAACTGGATGCTGAATTCAAACCTCACGGTTTCCTAAATGGCAAATGCTGCTGAGAGTGGAAAAACAGATCCTTTCCTTCAAGAATTTGCACATAAAATGTGCAACCCAATCCCTGCATTAGACGGAGCCTGGACAGATGATCCAACCACAATACATGGGCTATTTCAATTCAATATGTTTCTCCTTTGGAATTCAGAAATGGCTTTGCTTCAGTTCTTCTGAGACATTCAGAATGGTTCATTCTTAGCACAGAAATAACTGCTGCTGGCCCTACTCCTTCAATCTTGGTAGTTTTAAAAAACTGTACCAATAAAAAGAGCTAGGGCTTAATTATATATATATATTATTTATATATGTAACAAATATATGCTATATTAGTATATAACAATATATACTATAACTAGTATAATTTTCATTCATTAATGTGGGTAGAGAGTAGTTTCAACCTCCCCAAAATTTCATTTTTAAATTTAAAAATTCAGAGAAGAATATCAACTGAGGCCCTTAGAAATAACATCTCAAGTCCAAGAAATCACCAGATTGGGAGTATAAGAACATGAGCAGGAACCGCCAAAATTCTTGCTTTAAAAAGCAAACACTTCACTAGGGTTTAGAGCACTGATTCGAGAAGAGACAGTCTCAAAAATATCAAATTACACTTTCTGAAATTACATATCCGTAAGTCACATGAGAAGAGGATCTAGAATTTTTCTGATTCTTTTTTATTACCTGAGTTCTCACAGTCCTAGTTACTGTTTAGAGCCAAACGTGGGGTCCAGTTTCACTAGTCAGTCTTAACGATCGTGAAGACCTAACATTTATGGAGCAATTATTACATCCCAAGCACAATGATAAATACCTTTACATGGTATTTAATCCCTCCAACAACCCTATGGGGGTAGGTACTCTCACTACCATTATTTTACAGATTAAAAAGCTAATGCTTTAAAGAAACTCGCCCAAAGTCAGAGCCAAGGATTCAAAAAGAGGTCTATTAAATTGCTGAATCCAGACTCCTAACCATTATGTACTCTGGCTGCTCATAAACCTCAGGTCTGGGTCCTGTCATATCAGATAAGCCAGCAGGAAAACATCACAGCATGATGGGAGGAGAATCAAAAGAGCTGTGTTCTAGTCCTGGATTTGCTACCCACTGCATTTATAATCTTGGATAAAGTCCTTTGGTTTTCTCATAGTTTAAATAATGTCTCATTTGTTGAAGAGAGTAATACAAACCTCCTCCAAAGCACTGTGTGTCAGAGAGAATTAAAGGAGAGAAGGTTTGTGCAAAACCTCCCACTGTGACAACGACAGTGGTGATCAGACAGTGAAGCCCTGCCCAGATGTTTTAATCAACAGGCGCTCTTCTGAGCTTGTTCCCTGAGAGGCTGGGCACGGGCGTCAGAGTTCTGACCCTCATCTCCATCAGGGCCACCAAAAAGAGGGGTTAGTGGTAAGAGAGCAAGCACACGGGTAGCCGGGAGCATGTTGGGATCTGAAATCAAAGACAAAAAAGTCTGCTATTTCCATCAATAAACTTGGACCTCAGTGAATCTAGACCAATGCTTTTCAACCGGTGTGTCACAACAATGTTTAAAACATGCACTACCTGACTAGTCAGGGTCACTGACCTCCTTTCCTTTAGACTGTCAAATTAAAAAAGGACAACAGACAACATAACAACAACCATCTGGTGTGAATGAATCAAAATTAGACCTATTTTTTTGTCTGATTGGCAAAAAATACATTTTTTGGTGTGCCACAGAATTTTAGGAAGTAGTTTATGTGTGCCGCGAGATGAAAAAGGTTGAAAATCACTGATCAAGACTAAGAACAAAATTAAAATAT